GGGGGCTCTTTTTATGTTTACAGCTGCCAGAATCGCTTCCAGTATTAAGCTAACAGTTGACTTTACACAGATAAACAGTAGCCACCAGGAGTCCGTGTACAAGGGCCCACTGCCAGTGCGCATGCCTTACTTTGCTGGTAGCAGAAAGGTTAATGAACAATGATGCCTGGTTTGTAATATTGGCAGCCAATATATGTTTTTTTACTTTGCTATAGTTGTGAATAAAAAGTATTTCATATAAAACCTAGCTTATATTCCTAGTATTACTCACTGAACCTAACATATTAAGTTTCAGGGGTCAGAAACAATGCTCATGTAGACCATTAAATAGACAAATGATGATTCTTAAGTGCTTGCTTACTGCGTTTTTTATACTTCTTTCAGTACATAATTCCTCGTTTAATGGTTCACACCAATCTTTTTGTACAGACTTCTTTTGGAATCCACTCCATCTCCTGTAATGTTCTGTCACAACGACGTTCAAGAAGGTAGGAAAACTAGTGCCTTTCATATATTGGTCTGAAATGAAATAAGGTCTAATGCATATTTATCATTCATAACCACAGGGTCAGACTCTGATTGAGCCTCTGTTTACCTGACATGCTTGAGTGTTGGGTAACCTCACCAGTTCTCCCTGTAAAGGAATACTGTGTAGCACCATGCTTAAACATGTTCCATCCTTTTCATCCTTTTGCTGGCAGGTCTTGTGCTCCACTTTTGACTTCAGCTGGCCAGACCATTTATGCAAATGTTCATCATTTTTTTTTTTTTTTTCTACTTTCAAGTTTGTAATAGACCCTTCCTAGACCATACATTTTCTTAAAACGCAGGACCAGTAGAATAAAAAAAAGTGCTACTTATTTTGTAGGTCCTGTGATCGCAAATGTTTCTCAAAATAATATTTTCAATAGTAAAATCATTTGTTAGTGCACACAAATAACTTCCAAAAGCTGATCGGTTGGGTCGACCATGAGCTTATAGCAGAGTGAGCAGTGTCATGGACGGTAAGGCTTACTGAGCTGTCTAGCTGCAAGTGGTTCTGTTCTGATGTAAGCCTTCTGTCCTTGGCAGTAAACGGTTTCAACCTCTTTTCACACAAATGCAGTTGCTTGTGCACCACGTGTGGTTAGATTGTTGCATGGTCACTTCTATTGTGCAGTAGTTTCTTCACAGGTATTTACCTTTTTTATTAGTTCATATACAGTGTTCTCCTTCTCAGCCAGTTAAATAGTAAACATACATTGGGCTCATTGCACAAGGCTAAAACGCCAGGATGAGCATACGTCTTTTCAAAAAAGTGAGGTTTTTTTTTTATCAGCTGTGTCCAGTGAAATTTAAAACTTGCTGTCACATGGCTTACCCTTAAAGTGGGGCTACCCCCACACTGCCAGGGTTAAGTCCTTGTTCTGTGTATGGGGCTCAAATAACGCAGAAATACTCACCTGATCCTTGGTCCTGCGAACACCTCTCTCCCCAGATAGCAAGGATAACTTGGCACAAACTTGTGGCAGGGTTAAATTGTAATTCTTATTAACTTGCTGCACACATTCCTGGCAAGTTGTAGACTTGCAGAACACTTGCAGCACAAGTTCTAGTTGATACTTTTTGAATTTGTAGCAAATTTGCTTTGCAAGTCTACAGCAAGAGTCCTGCAGGTCTTGGCAAGAGCTCTGCAAGTGTACAGCACTTTTGCAAAGCACGTTGATCTGAAGACTTGCAATGCAGACTTGCTGTAATTGTGCAGCAAAATTGTGATGTTTAGCAAGTCATTTTCAAACTTACAGCTCAATTGCTTGCTATCTGGGCCCCCTTCTCTCCAGCTATGGCATGTCCCTCTGAGTTCTCACATCTAATGCAAGCCAATAGACTTGCATTAGATGTGACCACGTCATAAGACTGCCGGAGCCTGGGGGAGAAGAAGTTGTGCGGACCGGTCTAGCAGTTTGATGAGATTGAGGATCAGGTGAGTGTATTTGCTTTATTTGAGCATCCTAGACTAAATGAGCACTTAACTCTTGGAGTGCAGGGGTAGCCCAGCTGAAAGGGTAAGTTCCTCTTTAAAAGAAAGACCCTTATCCTTGATTTAAGAGTTGTGCCTTATGTCTAAAGTGCACTTTCATAGACCTCTCATGAATCATTGCTTAATGAATGTCCATTTAGTTCTCTGTCAGCTATACTTGGAATACAGTAATGTAGGTGCTGGCACAGGAGTTGATGAGGAACTTCTTAAAACTCTGAATAATGTAATTGTGCAATGTAGGAATGCTAGTAATTATGCATTAGAGCTGGTTATGGGTACTTCTATACAACTGTATACAACAGCATTGGGTGAATGTAAAAGTAGTTACCGTGCTTTATAGTATAGCAAAGTATTTGGGGCTTTGAAACTAAAGTGTTTTTTACATTATGACTCAATGACAATACATGTCCACTCTGTAGGTGTACTTGAAATTTGCTTGTATGTGTCATTTTAGAAAGTCAAGAAACCCTGTTTTTCATAGATGTTAGTGTGTTCAGGCGTTTCCCTTTAACAATTACAAGTTTCTGTCTCTTTTAGGAAACATTTTGCTACTGTCAGCTCGTTCATCCCACCCGTCAGACAAGCTCATGCTCATTGACTTTGAATACAGCAGCTACAATTACAGGTCAGGCTAAACAATGTTTGCAGTGTGTTTTTTTTTTTTTTTTGTTTTTTTTTGCTGCACAGTTGCCACCATGTGGTTACAGTGTACAAGTATTAACGTGCAATTTTGTTTATTATAGCCTCAACAAGTATATCGTAGCTCTTGTCACCAGCCATGACTCAGTTGGTGAAGAATAGAGATTAGTCTGGACTTTGTGCGAACCCAGTTTGTCAGTGTTCGCCCAAGTCTGCTCAGAACTGTGACTGCCACCCCCTTCTGACTCAAACATTTGTGGCGTGGGAATTCCTCGCCCCTTTGTGACGTATAGCTATGGGGCGGGGAATGCGCCTCTGTGCAACTGATTGGGTCAGGAGGTGGGGTGGCAGTCACAGTTGTTTTTTTTTTAAATTGGCTTGGGTGAACTGGGTCTGCTCTAAGTATAACCGCACAACCACATTACTAGTGAAGAAATGGAAAGCAGAAAGGGACCCACTTTGGATCCTGAATGGAGGATTCATTAGTGCAAGGGAGTCCAGGTGTATCGGTTTAATACAAATTTGTGTACTAGTGCATTTACAACGTTGATTCATTATAATATGCGTGCAACTTCAGTTAAGAAAAAAGCTCCATTGTACCAACAGAGAGTCCTTAACTGCCTGCGGGCCGGCCGTAGTAAAAAAACGGCCGGCCGGGAGCTCTCTAGATCTGAACGGGCTCAGAAACGCCCCCTCGCGCGCGCCGCTCGGCGAGCGGGAAATGGCCGTTATTTAAAAACAGGCAGCGATGCCTGTTACCATACAAGCGATCCACTGGCTGTAGAGCTGGCGGATCACGTGTATGGGGTGCCGAGCGGTCCCCGCCCAACCCCCCCCCACTGTTGTCCCGCTGATCCCGGGCTCCGCTGGGCTCTGTGCGACCCCGGGATCAGCATGTCGCCTGTGTCACAGGGGATCAGAGGGAGATCGTTACACGAGCTCCCTCCGGTCCCCTCTCCTCTGAAAGAATGCGAAAGTGTTGTATAATACATCACTTCCGCATTCTTGTGTCACTCTCCAGCTTCAGAAGCTGGAAAGAAGCTGATGGAGCAGATCTGTGCTTCATCAGCTTCTTTTGGGGGGTCCTAGGTGACATTAGGGGTCTTGGAGACCCCTGATGTCTCCATAAAGAGGACCTGTCACATATTTTGATATCACATAGGGGAGTTTAATTAGCCCCGTATGTGATAGCAATAAAGTTTAGTGAAAAATGTAAGTTCCACCCCCCTCCCCCCAAAATTTAAAGTTACACATAAAAAACTAAAAACAAAATGTTAAAGTCCCCACCCATACTTACACGCATGCAAACATGCGTCGGAGGCGCATACGTGCAAAAAAGACGATTGCGCCCATTACGCCGCACATGTCACATATCGCCGCGAACGTCGGAGTGAGAGCAATAAGTCTAGGGCTCGTCGCCTATGGCCAATTTTGGGTATGGTATTTTTCTGCAATTTCGCGGGTGCGCGCAATTTTAAAGCTTGACATGTTTGGTGTCTATTTACCCGATGTGACCCAATCTTTTATATTTTACCAAAAAACTGGGTAATAATAAATGTTTCCTAACATAATGTAAAAAAAAACGTTTTTTTTTCAAAATTTTCTGTAGTTTTTCCTAATTATAATAAAAAATAAAAACCCCAGTGGTGTTTAAATACCACCAAAATAAAGCTATCTGTCCCCAAAAAATGGTATAAAATTCATTTCAGTACAGCGTTGCATGACGGAATAAACGTCAGTCAAAGTACTGCAGCGCTGAACACTGAAAAATGGCCTGGCCAGGAAGGGGGTCTAAACACCTGGTCTTCAAGTGGTTAATACACTTGTATGGGCAGCTTGTTTATAAACAAAGCATTATGGGGGAGATTTATCAAAACTGTAGGAGGCAAAATCTGGGGCCGCTGAGCATGGCAACCTTTCAGCTTCCATGTTTTATTTTCAAAGCCTAGCTCAACAAACTGATGAGAAAAGCTGATTGGTTAATATGGGCAATTGTTCAGTATTCTGTCTGTTCCAGTCTTGATAAATCCCCCTCAATTGTAATTATGTTCCTGACTTTTTAGCCTTTACCTGTACATTTGTTTAGATACACACATGGTACTTTCTGCGCCCTGCATGATCCAGTCAGCGAGAGAGGATACCCTAGTGGTAGGATTAGAAAAACATCAGTACAGATGCCGAAAATGCTAAATAGCAGAGACAGTTGCCATTAATTACAACGGCGGCCGGGAAGCTACTCGTCGGGCTCCGCCGTCCTCTCGTCTGTGACGAGCGGACAAGCGGATTTTTCAAGCCCTGAGTATCTGTAACCTTTCATCAGTTTAGGGCAGTCAAAATAAAGAAGGATGATTGCTGTATAAGAGTGCACTACCACCACAACAGTGCTTGTAAAATGACTATAAAATAAATGGCAACTGTCTCTGCTATTTAGCATTTTAGGCCGATGCGGCCGGGACCGCCACGGCTGCTTTGTGACAGGAGATCGGAGGGAGATCAGTACACGATCTTCCTCTGACCTCCTCTCCGTCCCCGAATGCAGGAAGTGATGTATATTACATCACGTCCGCAGTCTGCTGTCACTCTCTAGCTGGAAAAGCTGGTGAAGCAGATCTCTGCTTCTTCAGCTTCTCTGGGAGTCCCTAGGTGACATTAGGGGTCCTGGAGACCCCTGATGTCTCCATAAAGAGGATCTGTCATGTAAACTGGGTTTCACAAAGGGGGCTTCTTAGCCCCACTACGTGATAGCAATAAAGTTAAGTTTAAAAAAAATGAAAGAAGCATAACGTTTGGGTTTTTTTAAGTCCCCCACCTCCCACATACACACACAAACAAACATATGTTGGGTGCGCCTACGTGCAAAAATGACGATTGCGCCTATTGTGCCGCACATGTTACATATCATCGCGAACTTCACAATAATTTTAGGGCCATTAATCACTGATGACACTAAACTGATGAGCAGTTAAAGCGTTTAAAACGTCGCCTATGGCCAATTTTCGGTGAGGTCGTTTTTCTAAGGTGGTGGCAATTTTAAGGCTTGACATGTTTAGTGTCTTATATTTTACCAAAAATATGGGTAAGAATAAATGTTTTTTAACACAACGTAGGGAAAACATTTTTTTTGGAAACCTTTTTCATTATATAGTAAAAAATAAAAAAACCCAGGGATGATTGCCTCCAAAAGAAAGCTCTATCTGTCCCTAAAAAATGTTAACATAAATTGCAAGGCTATAGACCGGTCATGCTGACTGGTGACATTTTTGACTGACTGGTGAGACACGCTAACATTTACTGCTGCCTTTTGCATGGACCTATTGACTTAGCAAACCAGTGCTCAATTATATCCAAAATATTTTTGAGTTAGAATGGTCTGACTCTCCCAGTTCATAGGTTTCCCCATCAACAAGGGCTGTTTGGACAGCTTATCTTATTTTCAGAACGTTTGTTGAAACCAGAAATTGAGTTTCAGCTACAGCTTACTTGTGCAGACTTATGTATGTATTGTAGACCTGGCAGGACTATAAGATTGTCATGTGCTGCAATGCCTGGACAGCATCAGTAGACGTTTCCTAGCACCAATGATAATGAACGAGGTCAGGAATATTCATTGCTAGCATTATTAGAGTCCATATTAGTAACTGGTGTTCAGTCTATTTGTCAAGAATGGGGAGCAACACCATATTGTTTGCTCTGGCTTTTCTATTGTTTGTTATGCATGACAAACCTATCTTTTCTCTTTTTAACCTCTACAGAGGATTTGACATTGGGAATCACTTCTGTGAATGGGTATACAATTATCAACATGATGAGTGGCCATTTTACAAAGCAGAACTGAGCAACTACCCAGACCGACAGCAGCAGGTACATCTATAATAATTCATGTGGAACTACAACCTGCTATCCCTTACAGCCAATGAAGCTGCCATCTTGGCCTCTATTTGGATTGCAGTTGCCATGGTGCTGCACAGGTAATCACCTGGTACAAGTCATTTGAGGGCTGGCAACCTTGACAATTGGCATGTTTTCAGAGTAAGTGTTTTGGGAGACATTTAAATTGGTGGATAATGTTCCTCTTTAAAGAGCCCTAAGCTGTTTGTTGGAAACCCAGTTACAAAAACATGGTTCAGAAACCTCAGTTTATATAGCATGTATACTTGACCAATATCCATGCTTGTTACTTGGGGTTAAGTGACCAGTCATTGTTTGTTGCTGACAACATATCACCAGTAAAAGAATTGCTCAAAGTAAACATTTATTATTGATAGTTGGTCCTTCACTCTCAAAAAATACTGCTCCGTTGTAGCTAATGATAGAGAGACATTTATTTGGGTCAGGCAGCACAAGAGCGACTCTATGGATAACTTTAGAGGACTTTAGCTATCCCATCTCAATTGAATTGTCACCATCAACAAAATTTCCCATATGTCGTGTTCCTTAACCCCTTCGTGACGGGAGACATACACTGTACGTCCAGCCACAAAGGGACCAAATGACTCGTCACGTACACTGTACGTGACGAGTTATTTGCTGCACTAGAAGGCTGCTAACCGCTGAGAATCAGCGGTTACCTTTCAGTAATGGATGTCTAACTATCTAGAGATCCATTACTGAAAGGGTTAACCTTTTTCAGACACCCGATACCTTAATATCGGGTGTCTGAGAGTCACAGCAAAGCAGACACACATGTCGGCTTTTGCCGGCATTCTGACAGCTCGTATAGATCGAGAGATATCTCTCTCAAGCTATACTGGCTTTTTTTTTTTTATCTTTTGACTTTCAAGAATAGATACAAAATGTTATGTATTAGACACATAATGTATCTATTCTTGAAAGTAGAATGTTTAAGTTTTCTGAAACATTCACTGACAGCTGAATCCTGAACTGCTGCAGGATCAGTGTCACTAACTTATTATCGGCTGTTCTGAAGTTTGAAGCAGCCTGATAATAAAAAAAATGTATTAATTTATCAAGCAGTAATAGTGAGATTAATTCACAATGACTGCCTGATATAATTAAATAAATAAAATTTGTCAGTATAAAAAAAGTGAAAAGTGTAAATAAATAAAAAAAAATAGTGAAAAGTGTAAAAAAATTAAAAATAAGGGACAAATAAATGAATGTCTGTATTGCATTTTTTTTTTTAGCTGTGCTGGTTTTGTTAAAAAAAAATACTACAAATCAAAACTTTTTTTTACGTTTTTTCCTCTTTTTTTAATTTGTATTTGTCCTAAGTGAGGCGTTAGACACACATATGTGATATAAATATATAGCCCTATCTGTCCTCTAAAAAACAATATATAATATGTGTGGGTGCACTTTGTAAGAAAGTATATTACTGACGTGGAAGAATCACACAGCAAAAATGTCAAAAGTGTGTCAGTCATTTACGAACAGAAACCAAAAACAAGCTCAGTCATGAAGGGGTTAATAAGACTAAGGCTGTTTACTTGCATTTTGGCATAGTGATTGGTGCGTCACACTTTAACTTTGTGCTTTTTTTTTTCTGTCTGTGTGACCCTTTTGACATGGTAGCTCCACTTTTTCCACTATTACCTGTTGGAATGTAATCCAGAGCTCAATGAGGAGGATCGGCGTGTTCAGGAAGAGGCAATGGTTATTGAAGTGAACCGGTAAGAAAATGTATTGATTTGCAGTCAGTCTATCAGTATTTCTCAACAGTGCTTCCTTTGATTTGCCTGTTTTCTCTGCCTTCATGTAATCTTTAATTTAAAAACCATCTTGTAATGTCTGTCTCCTTTATGGTAAAAAGAAAGTATAGTGTACATTTGTATAGTTCATCTTTTGTGTTGGGCTGTGACACATCACCTGCAGCAGAGTTGCCCAAGTGACATCAGCATTATTATTATTATTATTATTATTGCACTGTTTACCTTAAAATAATTGTTTCTTTTTATTTTAGAGAATTGTAGATTATCCACTAAAGGGAGCTTAGTGTTGAGTCCTGGAACTGTTGTGTGTCCCTGCTTATTAAAAGGAGACAATTCTAGACCAATTTGGGTTGTTGTTGTTTGTTTTTTTACAAATCAACATTGGTACATAACAAAACTCCCAAAGCATTATGGTTTGCTAAAGAAGCAGCACAGGGGTAACTGCTTGCATTTTGTCTCCCTTTGATTGAAACTTCAGACTGAGCCATAGCGTTAAGGGTGTCATTGTAGCAAAGTGAGAGCCTGGATATCTGAAAACGTTACCTCAAACCCCACCTAATGGTTCAAACGAAGAACTACAGAGCTACCTGACCTAAAACGATATTTTTTTAACTAAGTTGACTCCTAGACAATTGTGAGATGAGACTGTAAATCACAATCACTGTGTATCGCTGCACAGTAATAAGTAAACATGGTTACCCATGCTTTCCCATGCTATTGAAAACAGGGTTTTAAAACATTAACACCCATTGATGGGCTTTTTTTTTAAATTAAGCTGGTGTTTGTATATACTGTATATATCTTTAAGATATTGAATAGACCAGGGTTATTCAATATCCCTGAATACCCCCTGGTATAAATCTACCTCGGAGCTCCAGCCCTACGAGGCATTGAAAGACTGACAGTCACATGACTCCTAGAGGTGTTTCATCACAGCTGGGGTGCCAATGTTGCCTTCCCCTGGAGAAGACTATACATTCCATTTTTTAAGTAAACCTGTTGTTAAACATTAGAAGATCTGCTTTTTATATTGAGAGTAAAAGCGGAATTGCAGTACAGTATATATTTACTTTCACTTAATACTTACCTCTCCAGTGGGTGGTAACTTGGATCCTTACTGTTTTTATGAGCTATGGTGGCTGAAGAATGTTTAGCACTCAAAATATTCTCCTGGATGTGTAAGATGCCTGTTTCCCTGCTGTGCAGTGTGGTCCCATCCTCCCACCCCTATGTCACTAAACGCCACTGTTGTAAAGATTAGATATATCCCAGATTGTCTTTCAGGACAGCATCTGACAAAGCGTAGCTTCACCCGCTATTCCCAGGAAACACTAAAAGGATGCTCCTCTCCATCCATCCATTCTCAGTTTTAGCATTTCCTACTGGCTGGCAGGAACTGTGCGGAGCTGTGCCTCCAAGTGCTGTCCCTGGGTGTGTGTCTCCTCTTGCCTTCCCAGGTTTAGGAGTTGTCTCTGCTGGGTTCACATGTGGTGGTTCCCCAATTGCTTGTAGCCACTCTTACAGGCAGCGGTTGCTCCAAAGCCCTCTCCCCTCTTCAGTTCACTGGGGGGGAGCCAGTACTGCCAGGCCTCTTCTTCCCTATTTGTCCTATGGGCTGTGTGTGTGGGCAGAGGAGCACCCTGTGCATCTTCTGTTTCATTTCCCGGTGGCAAGTTATGTCATTTCCAGGAGGTAGATATTTCAGCAGTTGTGGACTTCTGACTAACCATTCTCCTCATTAACTAAGTGTCATCACCCATAGAGCTGTCAGTTTGACTGTTTATCTCCTTGCAAGCCATTCCCTGTAAACTCTAGAGAAGGGTGTAGAATGTAAGACTCTCACCAGGTCAGCATTTTTGGATATAACACAATCGCCATGTCTAGCAACAAAATGTACTGTACTGTCAGCGTCTTAGATCACACATCTTCACGATTTCTAATGTTTGATCAAACAAGTGATCCATGCATGCTTTCTGTATATAGCCACATAATCTGTTTAACTATTTGCATTGATGTGTAGGTGTATTTAATAATGTGATCACTAAATATGTACAGTGTATGTTATAAAGGTGTGTTTTGACAATCTTAATATCCAGTATTTGTCATATTTTGCCTGTCTTAGGTTTGCCTTGGCTTCACACTTCTTCTGGGGTCTGTGGTCCATCCTGCAGGCAAAAATGTCAACTATTCCATTTGGGTACTTGGTAAGTATCTACTTAATACATCATTTAAATTCTAGACAGTAAGGTAGGTAGATCTTTTGTATTTAGTATCGGCTAACTGTTTTTTCACATATGTTCAAATGCATGTTCTTAGGCCTGAAGATCACTTAAACATGCCCCCCAGAATTTTATATTTTTTAAAGCAGAGGCCCTCGAGAATAAAATGGTGGCAATTACAATTTTTTTATCTCACAGGACACTACTGCAGCTGTTTATCAAACCCAAATTTTAGGAAAAAATTACCTTTGAACATGTTTTAGTGCAAATAAAACACAATATAATGCTTATTTTTTTTTGTTAAATATAAAAAGAGATGATGGCTGCAAAGTAAATGGATATCAAACATTTTAAACTTCAAAATTAACAGGAAATTCCCGCAACCCACATCATAAAATATATACTGGCACACGCATATCTCAGATGGAGCACAGACCTGCTCTCTACTGCCCTAACCCTGACCGCATCATGCAGTATTCATAGCACTTTCTATAGTCGAGTGCCTCTGCAGTAGTGCCTGATGATACCTATAGTACCGGCCAAAAAGAGACAGCCCCTTCATCTACATACCATCAGAGCCATGCCTGCAGAAAAGGTGCATATCCAGGCAGAGGCCTTTTTAAAAGCAAGTCTGCGCTGTATCATTATTCACAACATGTTTTTTTTTAAATTTATATATACAGGTGAAACTCGAATAATTAGAATTTCGTGCAAAGTTCATTTATTTCACTAATGCAACTTAAAAGGTGAAACTAATATATGAGATAGACTCATTACATGCAAAGCAAGATAATTCAAGCCGTGATTTGTCATAATTGTGATGATTATGGCTTACAGCTCATGAAAACCCCAAGAACCCCAAATCCACAACCTCAAAAAAGTAGATTATTACATGCAATCAATAAAACAAGGATTGTACATAGAACAATATCGGACCTCTGAAAAGTACAAGCATGCATATGTACTCAGTACTTGGTTTGGGCCCCTTTTGCAGTACTTACTGCAATTACTTTTGCACGATATTCTAATTATTC